GCCGCAGCCAACTCGATGGCCCCGCTCACGAGCGAGTGGCGGGACGAGTCTGTGCGCCGGCTGTCGGCGGGTCCGGAGGGCGATGAGGAGGTGGCCCTGTCTCAGTCGCCGTACGCCTGGAAGCCCCTCGGGCCCCTGGTCTCCGAGAGCCGACGAGCGCGCCCCAGCGGCCGCACGAGCAGGTACAACCCCCCCACCCCTTCGGGGCCTCCCCCAGGGCCGCCCAGCGCCCCCTCGGGGCACGCGCAGACCGCGACAGGGCGTAGGCTGCTAGGAGGGCCGCTAGATGGGGATGTAGGTGACGCGACGCCACGACGCGATCCTGGTGACGAGGTGGTGCGCGATGGAGCCGCGATCAGTCAGGTCCCCGACGACGACGACGGCTGGGTGCTGCTCTCCGTGGGGCAGCGCCCAGCCCAGGAACCAGCCAAACCCGGTGCCATGTTGACTTTGAATGACTCGGAGGCGTCGGCCCGCGAGTTGCCGCCCGCGGGCGAGGCACGTGAGCGCGTGGACGAGCAGGTGCTGTCCTCCATCAGGGCCATCTCCACCGCGCTGCTGGAGCAGAGCCCCGCGAGCGCCGTCTCCATCCCCTCCTCCGCCATGACGTCCCCCTCCTCCCCCGATAGACTTCCCCCTACCCCTTCTCCGAGCGATAAGACGTTTCAGGAGGACGACCACACCGCCCTTCCTGAGGACGCCGCAGTGGACGGCCGCCGGCTCAGTAGTCCTCTCCCCCAGCAGCAGCAGCAGCGGCGTCCGCCGCAGCAGGAGGAGGACTCTTGGTTGCCGGTGTCCTTGGCTGTGCCCAGTAAAACTTCCGGGGAGCCGGCCAAAAAGGGCAGCAAGCCGATGCGGGTGTCCGCCGACGTGCTTGCCCAGTTCCTTGTGAACCACGGCGCGAACGCGACTTCGGCGGTCCCTCCGGCCACGGGGCCGACGGAGGAGTCGACGTCACCGGCGCCCAAGACGCACTACCACTATTCCAGTACGTTCCGCCCGTCCGAGCACTACGTTCCGACCAACCGGCCGCCGCCCACGAGACCGCCTCCGACTCGGCTGCCCGCATCGAGGCCGACGCCAACGCCGCGCCCACCACGGCCTCCTCTGCGGCCGCCGGCGCCGCCCCCGGACGACGCGCCCGCCCCCGCCCCCACTAAGGGACCCAGCCACTTCACCTTCAGCGCCACCATCAGCCCGTCGGGGGGCGCGGGGCACCTCCAGCACTACAACGAGCGCCCCTCCCAGGGCGTGGTGTCCGTCATCAAGAGGCCCATCACCATGCACCACAGCTCGTGGGGGGTGGGCAGCGGCGGCACGACCAAGCCCACCGTCATCAACAACTACAACGACCCGTCCTGGTACCCCAAGCCTCCCCAGCACGCACCGCCCAAGCCGCCCCAGATTATCATCATCGAGGACAAGGTGCCCGAGTACCAGCTCAGCACGCCGCGCCCGCCCTCGTCGAGCCACCGGCCCGCGGCCCAGGTGACGTCCACGGGCAAGCCGGACGTCAAGTGCCCGAACATCGTCATCACGGCGTCCAGCCTGGCGGAGAACCACAACGCCGTGGCCAACAAGGAGGGCGTGCAGGGCTGCTCGGAGCTCAACATCGTGATCCAGTCCTCGGCCGCCAACACGAACACAGCGCACCCGGGTCAGAGCGGGCCCATATACCTACCCCCCGCCTCCGCGGCGCCGCCGCCCCCCGTCCTCGCGAGCCCCACCGCCCCCGCCCCCACGCAGATCATCATCGCCCACAGGCCCAGGCCCAAGCCCAAGCCGCCCCCAGCCTCGCAGGCCGACGCGGTCCCCGCCGTCCCCGTGATCCCCGTGGTCCCCGTCGCGGGCGCAGGCGCCGGCGCGGGCTCCAGCGCCACCGCCGTCGCCCCGACGCCGTCGAACAACGTGGGCTTCTGGGGGAGCCTGTTCAACGGCGCCGCGACGCGCTTCGGCATGAGCTTCTGGTCCGGCGTGCTGCTCGCGCCCGTGATCGTCCTGATGGCGGTGGGGTCGCTGCTCACGCCCTGGCTCGTGCCGTACATCCTGTCCCGCCGCTCCGACGACTACCGCGTCCTGAGCCGGCGCACAGGCCAGCGCCCGGGGCAGCGCCGGCCGTACCGGGGCCCGTACCACGGCCACGACTGGCAGGGCCACGCGCAGCGCCGTGACCGGGGCGTGCAGCGTGCCTCGCGCTGTTGGGCCGACTGGCGGAGACGCCACCGGCGCACCGTGCCGGCCAACACGGTGTGGTGGGACGACGGCGTCCCTCCCGGGGCGTGGCCTCTGCCCTGGGGTTGGCCCTACCCCTGAGGGCTACGCCCAACCGAAGGAACGCGTTAACGTCACTAGTAGTTGAAGGTATTGGCATCATTTCGAGGTGGAAATGAAACGATTTAAGTCGAAACGACGACATGACGTCACCGTGACCTTTTCGCGTTCCTCGTGTACGGTGGGAGCCCCAGGGGGAAACCTTCCCCAACTACCAGTCCTCGCGGTGCCATCAGGGGCGTGAATGGCGCGCGCCCGGTCTTTGTGATTTCAAAAACAGTAATACTTAATTTAGAACACTAGCTGAGCTGCACATGAACTTTTCGTCGTACGCGTCGTGGCTTTATAATACCAGGGTAGAGCTCGCCGCATGTATTTTGGGGAGGGGTCGAAACAAATCTCCAGAAGCGCCCTCTAGCAGCCTACGCTTGATAATCTTGAAATTTCTTGCTCTATTAGTATAGTATGTGTAGTGTAGTGATGTGGTTAGCTTTTGTATGAGTGGCAGATTGTGTTCCTTGTTGAAGACATTATACTTCTCAATAGGCTAAGGCAGTACTCTAAGATGCAAGTGTTGATGTGTGTGGAGTGAAGTGACCATACAAAATATTCATATTATCTTTGCACGAAAATAATATTTGCACCCTCTCCATAGTTCTTTTTAAAATTACCTCATAAATAATTTATT